CAACGTTCACATGCGATCCTCTCATGATCAAGGATCTGAAAGGAATCCCACAGAGCCGCTGTCTCCCTTCGCTCGCCTCCAGCTGCCCCCCCCCCCCCCCTTTATTCCATTGCCGGCTCAATTAGAGGCCCTTTGAAATAATCAGAACTCAGCTCGGTCCCTCTTTATTCGCTGGAGCAGCTGAGGATTGGCAGCACTTTGCCGCTAACGACAGTGGAGGGGAACAACTCGCCCGCTCCGGCAAAAAAGCAGCCTAAAAAGCTCACGTCTGCAGGCCTGGTGCCCTGTCGGAGCCCGAGTGTCAGCGGCCGCGGCCGGCCGGGCGCCCCCGGTCCGGTCCGGTCCGGTCCGGCCGGTGCAGCGGCGCCGTGTCACCCCCGAATCGTTCGGACAGGCGGAAGGTGACAGCGCCGGGCGCGACCAGCCGTCAAAAACGGCGAGTCTCGCTGCCGCGGCCGGCCGGGCGCCTCCAGATTCCGAGAACAGGCTGGCGTGCGGCGGCCACAGCCGCTCCGCCGGCCGGCTGCGGTGCGGCCGCCGTGAAACGCGACACGACGTGCGCCGCCGAGGTGTCGCCGCTGTGGTCAGCTCATTAACACCCTCCCGAGCCGCGCCTGCGGGGGCCGGCCGGTGCCCGGTCCGGCCCGGCTCAGCTTCGAGGTCGGCCGGAACGCCGGGGTAATTAGCCGCGAACACCGATGTTTCGCGCCGATAGCGAGCCTCACGCACTGTCGGCGCCGCTTCGAGGGGATATTAGACACGGCGTTTCATTACAATGCGTGTTCCCCGTGTTTGGAGAGGTTGGCCCACCTGGGTGATACCGTGCGGAATGTGAGCTCACAGGTTGTGAAACAGTTTAGCCCTCAGCAATGGGCCGTCCTATGCAGGTGGACATGGTAACCCACGGCGGTAATGCGCTGACTCATGCAGACCGCGGGCCAGTTCCGACTTTTCCGGCGCGCTCTCTCACCTGCTTGTTCACATGCACAAGGAATCTGGCAGCCGCCGTGGTCTGGCTGGGTGAGGACGAAGGCCGTCGCTCCTTCCTCGGTCCTCCTGCCCTTCAGCCGTCCGGTGACTGCTATTTTTGTCGTCACAGTTTTAATCCGTTTCCAGTTTTGCCAGATACGGGCGCACAACATGCCTAAGCCAGACGTTGCTATTTAGCTTATTAACACAGTTTGAACACGAGTCCCTCAAACATTGCCGCATATCCTCTTTCCCGTCCTACATGTTTGTTCAGCCCTCCTCTCTACATACGTAACTGTTTCCCTCAGCTCCCTGCAAACATTGCTGCTTAACTCTGCTATCGCCAGACATCGCACTGTTTTCCTTTCCGCCCTTCAGACGTTTCTGTGCTGTCTTCCTTCCATCAGCCAGTATTGTGTAAACCTAATCCTGTCATCACTGTTAAGCCCGCGGCGTCCGCGGTAGACACCGTCGTCGAAGCTAACTCTTCACCGGCGCCCGCCTCCTGCCACCGAACGAGCTGAGCGCCCGTTTGGCGTCCGTGCATTGCATGCATGTGGCCGGCAGCTACTCCAGCAATCACGCTGTCACCCGGCGCCTCTCAGAACCACCGGTGGGCGGACTGCATCGACATGATTGCGTACTGCATCAGCGTCCACTTCATCGCCCCCACGAGCCGGGCTAGACACGACGGGTCGTAGCTGGACACGACGGGCCGGAGCTGGACAGTACAGTTTGTAGCTGGACACGACAGGTCGTATCTGGACACGGCAGGCCGGAGCTGGAGACGACAGGTCGTGCCTGAACACGACAGGCCGGAGCTAGACACGACAGGCCGGGGCTGGACACGACAGGCCGGAGCTGGACACGACAGGTCGTAGCTGGACACGACAGGTCGTAGCTGGTTACGGCAGGCCGGTTGAAAGTCGCCATCCCGTGTCCGCCGGGCACAGCTGTCGCCGGCAGAACCAGACCCGGCCCGCAGCTTCAGACCAAGCCGAAGTGAACGCGAGGTGTTCCACACACATTAATGTGTCGCTTTGGAAAAACTGCGTCATCCAAATACCGTTTCTTTCTTGTCATCTTTTTTGAAGAGTCAAATGCCTTAGGTTTGATTTCCATTCCAAAGTTTCGGATGAACGCGGCACTTTGCTGAGCAGCCGACTGCCCGTGCCCAGGGGAGGATGTCATGTCAGTGTTAGTGAGAGCAGGGTGAGTGCTCATAAGAATCAAGCAATCATGTGTATGAATTACGAGCTACGTTCACGGGCTTACGTGGGATGACATCGTGACACGGGCATTTAGCGCCAGTTGGAGCCAGTTGACACGAATGCAGAGTCTGAGCTGCCACCTGTTGTGAAGCCCTCATCAGAGAGGGGTGCCGACAGGGCCGGCGGCTCCACTGCTGCTCGCGCCGGCGGCCGCCCTGGCCAGTGCGAGCCGGACCGCTCCCGCAGAGCGCTGACCGCTGGGCCCGGCCGGCCCGGGCGCGGCGCCGCCCCGCTGTATCAGTGACATGCACAGGCGTGAC